CTTGCGGGTGTACTACAAGGTCCTTTCCACATACTCTCTCCCGTACAGGTTAGCTCTGAGTGCTAATGTAAACACAGACCATTACTTCCAAAGCACGTTGCGCATTGTTTCTGATAGGGCCCTTTCTGATAGGGCCGTGGGTGTAAAGCCAGCCCACATTTCTGATATTACCGTCATATCGGCAGCAAATTTGGATCAGCTCCATTGTACCCACCCCATTTTTAGAGATGTGGGGATCAGAGTGAAAAGAGAGAGGGTTTTATTTTCTGACACACTGTGAAACAAATATTTTTGTTTAAAAGACATTAAAAAAGTGCATTTTGCATTTTTTAGGACACCTTTAAGAAGCTGGAGCTGTGAAACCAAAAACTTCAAATACAATTTATGTTAAACCACTCATGATTAGATTTACTTAAATATAATGTTGGATGGTTAAATCAATATGAATACTCATATTCTTTAAGTTGTTCCTAAGTATTGTGTGTCAACATCAGAATTTATGAAGTAACTAGTTAACAAATATGTAAAATAAATTATGTGGATTAAAAAGAACACAATTGGCTACCAAAATGTAGCAGAGTAGAAGTATAAAGTAGTGAAAGGGTTCAATTAAAAATATTAAAATACTGGGGTTAAGTACAAGTACCTTACATTTGAACTTGAGTGCAGTACTTTAGTAAAAGCACTTAGTAACTTTCCACCACTGATAGTAATAACCTTTATATATACAGTCTATGTATGGTAATAACACGTTACTTTACATGTATTATATTCTCTGTATTACCTGTTCGTTTGAACAAGTTAAACCTTTATTAACTAGCATATATTAATACAATCATATTAATGCACGTGACGATATACTCCAGTCCAGTATGTGGCAGTATGCACTTCATAACTAACGTTTGCAACCTGTAATTTAAAAAAAAAAAAGCGAAGAAGAATACCCGAACCAGGAAGTCCAGTATCAGATGTTTCAGATCCACCATCAAAACAAACCGAGACGAGACTGTTACATATATTTTCCTGTGCTCAACTGGAATCAAATTCTTCTTGACATGGATGGTATGTCCTGATTTAACAGCCTAACGATCCGTCTTGATAGTTGTTTCCTGTTTTAAGCTATATATAATCAACCTAATGTTAGCTTACATTAGCTGGTTAGCTTGGTTGTTAGCTTTATTAGCTCAGCTGTCAGGCGTTTTGATTTCCAGTTGTTGCGTTTATCATATTATGTAACTATAGTTGCTACACTGACTATTAATTAGTTTTTTCTGAAATAATATGTTAGCTTCGACAAACTATATCAGACTCTAAGGTTTACAATTGCTCAAAACATGAGCACTTATGCGAAAGAAACACTAGCTTTTTACACCAGAATGTAAAATAAAGTTGTTGTTTTTTCTTTAAGTTCTATTTATTGATTATATTATAGGGACATTTTAATTGAGCTAGGTTATAAAAAGTAAGATAACACATTTGATATAGTGAATCATGTTTTATTATTTCCTCAGTACATGATAACTGAAAGCTCTTCCAGAACAAATTCTTTGATGCCTTTTTTATACTCTATATATTGTTTTTTGTTTCTGTTTTGCTTTGAATTTGACAGCATCTTTGCATTTTATGATTTTATGTTAGAATCATTTATATTGTCTCCAGTTGTGTATTTGTAGTTTTTTGATAATATTTGTAAAGCGTATTGGAAAAGAGGCACCAGAGGACCATACCAAATATGAACCAAAATGATTATCAAGAAAAAGGTTGTCCCGATGCAAAGGGCGTCAGATGTAGGTTTCTTTTAAGAACTACTTCTGAAAACATTTAGAAGTAAAAGGTTCCTGTATATGTCTCCTTACTGTTTCTTTTTGAACAATTCTGTTAATTTTCTTAACAATTTATTATTATATAATTCAAAGTTAGTATATTGCTATATGTTACTGTTTATATAATACACACTCTGTCTCCACAGAAACACTCTTCCAGCTAAAGGTATGTACCTGCAAAAAGGTTTAATCTATATCAGGTTGTTCTAACTTAAACATGTTCATTGTTTATTCATTTACTTTGAATGTTTCTCTGTGGGTCACAGTTCACTTCCAAGCAGCTCGAAAGACTGGCCAAGAAGTCAGAGAAGGAGGCTGAGAAGGAGCAGGCCAAGGTCAAGAAGGTGAGCACACTGCCAGGCTGAAGCCGAGCCTCTGGGGCGGGGCTGAATGATGTCATCACAATGTGTCGTCAGTGTCCTTTCCGTCTGTTATACTCCTCTCCCCCTCTGTAATGACTTTCTATCTTCATCTCTACTGTGAACACTACAAAAAGGAACAATTACATTATTTATTTTTAAAAGGTCAAGCTTTGTGTTGGAGATATTCATTGTTCAGTATTATTTCATAGTTAAACATTTCTTTTCTTTAGATTATTTGAACGTTTATTAAGTGTAATTATGATAGTTCATTTAAGTAGCTGTTTGTGCTCCTCTTTTTGGAGGGTGTTTAGGCACGAGGAAAGGCACATGTTTTTGACCAAATAGTTTGACCTCCTATTGTTCTTTGTTCTGTTTGATGGTGGACATCTCCGATTCTTGGACAATGGAACTGATCCTGCGTAAGATTGAACACTTAGTTTTCAGGTTGTATTCACTAAGTGCACCCACAGGTGAATCGTGTTAATCATCCAGACGGATCCTATCTGCAGCCAAAGTGTCTTTTCTTTCTTCTCTATCTTTATATAAAGGTTGTAGAAGGTGCTTTGTGCTCTTTTCAGCTGAAGGGTGGCGGCGATGTTTGGGTGTGGCTGTCTTTGTGCCAGGAACTCTTGTCTCCAGATTTATGAAGTCATTTTTAAATATAACCTAGACGATGACAAATGACAATAAAGGCTTATTTGACGAGTCATAATTGAATATATTAGTCGATAATACAGTCAGTAATTAAGATGGAGTTTGAAACAAACGGGAAGCTTTTTTCTTTGCTTGACATCATCATGTTTTATGTCTTTTCTCATATTTAAAATATTCTGAACTAAAACACTTTTGGTTTTCAAACTTTTTTACCATTAGCTCGTCGATTAAAATCATTAAGATATTCGTTTTTTTACAATTCATTTTTACATCAAACAACATTACAATTTATGCAATGTTCAATTGTATTTTCAAGATGTATAAAAAAAACATGAATTTAGGGTGTAATTATTGGAAATCTTTTTCTGTTATTATTGTTATATGCACTCTAATTATTAATGTACATTATATAAATATGAATCCATACATTCATTTCAAATAGATATTCAAAAAATATAAATACATTTCACACATATATTCACAAAATGTAAATACTTTATTCCCAGATTAATAATAAATACAAATCTATTTCTCCTTGATCATTTGTAAATATTAATCAAATTCCACCAGATAATTGTTAAATCTAAATCAAGTTTGTTTTGTTTCTCAATAGAATTACTAAATCCAACATGTTTTAACTGTTGCTTTTATAACATGTAATTATTATTATTATTATTGTTTTTATTTAAATAATGTATTCAGTAAATCCATGTGTACTGGTCCTACAGTATGACATCAGGAGTGTCACGCATCAGTCAGCAGGGGGCAGCATTGACTAGGAGGGCCCTTTGGTTGTTTTTTGTGTTAATATTCCTTTTGTAAAGTCATTGGACATCGCTGTTACTGTTTGGGTAACAGATTACAGAGGAGATATCAGCATGACTTCTCTCATGGTGATGGGGTCACAAACATTTGTACTGTTTAAAATGCGACTGTTAGTTTTTCTAATGTCAACTTGTCAGCTTCACCTTTCAATATGCACTTTACACAAGGATACACAGTGATATCTCATATACAATGAGAATACTAACAACAAATGTCACCTCTGCAAACAAGAAGAGATGACATTTACAAACTATTATTTTTGTTTTGTATGTATCCTCCGTCCATCCTATGTTGTATTTCCTATATATCTTAGTAGAATATAGCACTTTGTTTTTAATGCTGTATAATCTGTGATTTTTTTTCCGGTCAAATTAAGTGTATTGCTGTGTGTTGGTCTTAACCGTTCAAATATGTGTACACTACACATACATGGAAGATTAATTGAAATGAGGTACATTGCAGATGCATCTTCCAGTGTTAACAATGTATTTGTCTCATCACCAGGCATTGCAGCAGAAAAATGTGGAATGTGCCAGAATTTATGCAGAGAACGCTATCCGAAAAAAGAATGAAGGCCTGAATTGGCTGCGCATGGCATCTCGAGTAGACGCCGTGGCTTCTAAAGTCCAGACTGCTGTCACCATGAAGGGGGTGAGTAACTGTTTAACCTCTGTGGTGCTGTCTCCCGCACACTGGACACAGCTTAGAACCAGCTCATTTCATCTTCGGTATGCATCATAAAGGCTTTTATTACCATCAGGTTACCAAAAGCATGGGCCAGGTGACCAAAGCTCTGGACAAAGCTCTTGGCTCCATGGATCTCCAGAAGGTCTCCCTAGTCATGGATAAGTTTGAAACCCAAGTCCAGAACCTGGACGTCCACACCTCAGTGAGTGGTTCCACACTATGCTTATTTGTATTGTCTTTCCAGTGTTTTGAACAAAGCCTGCTTTGACAACTCATTTGTAGATAGTCCATATTCAGATAAAAGGGACATGTGTGACTTATACTAATCCCAGTTGTTCACCTGTGGGGTTTTCTTTTGTCTTATTCTAAACCATACTACTCAATCCTACACCAGGTGATGGAGGACTCCATGAGCTCTGCAACGACGCTGACCACACCTCAAGACCAGGTGGATGACCTGATCCACCAGATAGCAGAGGAGAGCGGCCTGGAGGTGATGGACCAGCTCAGCCAGCTGCCTGCAGGGGCCACCTCGGTGGGCCCCGAGAGCTCGAGGAGCCAGGACAGGGAGGACCTGCTGTCCCGACGGTAAGGGCGTGTCATCATCGGAACCAGAAATCCCTTGTATCATAAAGCTTTATTTATATAGCACTTTTCATACAGCACGTGCAGCTCAAAGTGCTTTACAAAATGGCACACATCACAAGTTAAAAACAAACGGCAAGAAATTCCCCTCAGATCAGATGTTAAGACCTTTTCCTATACATGCAGCATAGCAACAACATATAACATTTGAACAGGTTAAGAGACACGTTGTGCTATAAGGTATGATAATAAGAATAACATAAATAATGATTCCTCTGAGAAAAATAAGACACAAGACTAAGTGAATCGATGCAAAAATATAAAACCCTATAAAATAAATATTACAAGACTATAACATGACGAGTAAACAAATATTATATTTAACTATAGTGAGTGGGAGGAGGCGGAGCTGTGTACTGGTGCATTGATAGGGGGACAGACAGCAGAGTGGGGCAGTGATGTGTTTTCGTAGTCTGACCTGGAAGATCACAAGGACTCTCTCAACAAAAGCAATGGATTTTGGAATATTACAGAAAATCATTTTGTTGGCCAACACACATTTAGAATACTACATGTTCAGTTCAGCTGGATATATATATTAACATCACTTTATGATTTTTGAAGCATAAATTCAATCTCCTGAACTGAGAAGCTAATGTTGCGCTATAAATGAACTACATTAAGGTCACATGACTTCACGTCACCACCGCCAAGCTAAAGGCGACTAATCCTCCGGCTGACACTTGTTAGCAACCAGCGTTTGTATGACACATAGAAGCTTTGGAAATTCACCAGTGGGGGTTTTACTGACGTATTTAATGTCGTAGAACAAAACGTAAAAAACTCTTCTGCTTGTGTTAACCACATACCTTATTCAGGCTGTTAACCAAAAACACATTTAAAAAAACCATTGACTCTGAGATGAGGGAACCGGTAGTGGTAAAATGCTAACTCACTTCCAGGTTTTTAGGACTCTGCCCCGCACCACTCTAGGTTAGAGAGTAAGTGGACCAATCTCTGGGTTACAGATGAGCAGCAACATCTGTGTGTCTGGAAAGACTCTTCGCACTCTGTTCCCTTTGTGCCATCGGGATAACTAGATGCACATGACCAGGCAGGCCTGCAGTTAGAATAGAGCATGAGATCAGGAAATTGAATTACTGAGCACGACAACAACTAAGATTTCCTTCAGTCAAAAACAGATTTGATCAGTTAGATTTTTGACTGACATTTATTTTTGATTCCTAATCAGTTCGCCAACACAACAATTTCTCCAGCCTTTTAAATGTTAAGATTAGCTGCCGACTCTGTTTCATTTTAAATCTCATATGTAATAGTTTAAAGAAGATGTCACTCTGGGCTCTGGGAAATTGTGATGGGATGTTTTTACTGTTTTCTTTGACATATATATTCAATTATTTACATTGAGGGTTCCATTTTTCTTATTCTCTATAATTGAATGCCCCATTAGGTGCTTAAAATAGTTGTGTAAATGTTGATGTTCGTGAAGTGCTGCATTATATATCACAAGTCATTTGTATAAATCCTAATGAGGACACAGCTCTGGGATCAGCCTCTCAGTTCTCAGACTCATCAGCAGGTGTCCAGATATAGAAGGTTTCTCATTTCTCTAATTCCCCTCCTCGACTCCTTTCCTCGACTCCTATCCTCGAGACTTAGTCCCGCCCACAGGAGATGCGAGCGGAGGAGTCGAGGAGGGGAACCGAGGAGAGAGGAGAGGAAGCAGCAGGCGGTTAGAGAAATGAGAACTCCTCTCCTCTGAGCGGTCGTTTTAAAGAGACGTCCATTAATGATGACAGGAGGCACAGCAGCCCTCTGTCTGATGGACAGATGTGTTCATGACCACTTATATATTTACTTTGAATCATTCACAGTGCGGTACAATGAGACAATAACAGGCTACAGATGCGGACACACACACACACACATATACATTTATATAAATATATACAATTTCAGAATCAAGTATTAAGAGCACTCTCATAATAACGTAACACAATCAGAGACTGATAGTGTTACGTTCTCTCTGCCCCCCCCTCTCTGGTCGCTGAAATGAGGAAATGAAATTACGGGCCAAAAGTTGTATTTACAAGTATTACAAGTAAGCAGAGGACACCAAACCAACTGAGACCTGTCTGTCCGCCGCATCTACGCACTGTACAACACACACCTACACACTGTACCACACACACCTACACACTGTACCACACACACCCTACACACTGTACCACACACACCTACACACTGTACCACACACACCTACACACTGCACCACACACCACACGGTTATAGCTCCTCCAGAGAGCCTCCTCGATGCTCGATCCTCGGTCCTCGAAGTGCATTTAGAGAAATGAGATGTCCTTCAACATGGCGCGCTGAAATCCATTTCCGGGTCACTAGCGGAGGACCGAGGAGTCGAGGAGGGGACATTAGAGAAATGAGAAACCTTCATAGAGGTGTTGTTCCTCTCAGCACTGACAGCTCTCTGACAGGATGCTAGCTGCTGATCCTGCTTCAGGGTCAAGCTTTAGATTAATGCAAGTTAGTCAAGAATAGTTTGCTGTAGACTGTAATGGAAAGAACATTTTCTCAAGTATTTTACTTATGTACATTTTTAAAGGTACTTGTACTATCCCTGAGTATTTACTTTTGATGCTACTTATACTTCTCTAAATCTCTGAAGGAAACATTGTACTTTGTACGCCACAATATTTATTTAACAGCCTGAGTTACAGGTAACTTTTGAGATAAAGATTGAACAAAATGGAGGATATTGCTATGTTTTGCTAACATCCTTTTTGACTACCGACGTTTAACAAAAAGCAGTTCATTCAGGTACACACATCTGTTGTCTATGAATAAAAGCTCCAAAAGGAATTATGGATTTTTCGCTCTAAACTTTTGATATGATTACATCTCAATAATGATCAAATATATCACCAAATATCAAAGATTAGAAAGAAAATGTCAGACTTTGATCTATTGATGTCTTATATATTGATACATCACTGACACCTTGAATTTGAGTACTTTTACATTGCTGTATTTGTACTTTTACTTAAGTAAAGGTTCTGAATAATTCTTTCAATAGGAGCACTCATACTTACATGTTGTTTCTTAATGAAATGTAATCATTATAAGTTCCCCCTAAGATAAAAAAATGATGCACATCCTTAAAGTTGTTTTAATGAATGTAAAGTTTCTTACAACATAAACAAATATCCACGCGCTAGCTTGTTATGATCTAAGTTACACACACACGACACACCTCACAGTGATGAGAAGAAAAATACAATATGGCCATTCATCTCCCCTGATGACGCATAGCTAGCTTAGCCCAGGAGAAGGAGTCACCCCCCCCCCCCCACACACTGACGTTTGGAGGCTGTAATTGAGTGTACTGCACCTTTTTTACGTCTTGTATCTTATTTTGATTAACACTCCCCCGTTTTCACACGTTCCAGGTTGGCTGCTTTGAGAAACTGAGTGTCCTGCAGGAGTGAGACGGCTGCAGCGCTGTGCAGGCAGACGAGGAGCTGTGTGTGTTTCTATTGAACTGTTCCTACCAGGATGGCTTAATGAGTCTATCGATTTTCATTGCCCTGCTCTATAAATACACACGCTGTCTATAAATACCACCTGAGAAGGCATGAGTCTCTGTGGTTCACCTTCCCGTTTCGATCCTTCTATATCTCCTCTGCTATTCTCCTTTGGATCTCAGTTTACCTTCAACATCTTCTTTTCTCCCTCCCCTTCCACATGCTCCTCCTGTGGCTACAGTCCCCTGCTCTCAAACCACACCATTTTGGATGTTTGCTTTGTACAAAAACACATTTTACAAACTGTATAATTTACAATGATGAAAAGGATTTGAATAAGCAGTTATAGTGATTATATGGGAGCTGGGCGACCCTGCAGGGTGGGTTAACGATGTATATACACATTCAATTATTTTGGGCTCTGTCAGTCAGAGAGGGGTTTGAAGGGACGAGGGGATATTTAATAGGAAAGAAATACCATTTTCTTGGTAACACGAACAATAATTGTCTCCCTCCAGATCCATCCAAGCAACAAACACTTCATTACATTATAACACTGTATACAACCAAGACTGTCCTCCAACAGTCAAAATGATTTGTTTCCTTTTATTCTGATTTATTCTTTATTATTTCTCATGCCTGTCTTCAGATGTTTCGCTTTGAACGCCTTATTTGGAATGCAAGTGATTGCATGGGTGCTTCCCCGCCAGTGCCTGAAGGAATATAGTTTAAAAAGAGAAACTTGACAGACAAGAGGAAGGGATATCCCTTCCTCTTCCTGTGTGTTTGTGCTGACATCAGCGTGATGCCATAACTCTGTAAAGTTGTTGTAAAGCACACTGACACCTCACTCTGATATTTTCGGAAGCATCTCAAAATAAAGTAATATTCATCCGAGCCTGCCACGGTCCTATCCCAAACACTTTCAGGGATGAACATGCTGGATCTTTGTCTTTGACAACAATCAGTTGCTACTCCTAATTTGTTTTACTTTGAGTTAACTTGTTCTTTTCTGCAGTTTTTTTATTTCAATTATAGCTCTTTATTGTTTTGTGTGCTCCTTCTCTGGGTGTTCAATGTAGATGTCAGTGAGGGGCGGGCAGATCAGAGCAGCTTCACCCTCTATACATGTCTTCATCCATTTAACCGAGTGAAGGTCTATTTTTTTTTTCGAAGTTCAGAAAACTTTGCAGCACTTTTGTTTTCTATATTTATCTTGTGGAAATAAAGTCTTACACTCTGACGGAGTCCTTCATTTAACTCAGTGGGGTTGGTGGTGCGAAATGGATGCGGTTTAGTTGTAGTGTCAGATCATATCACAAGCAACAGTGTTGGAGATATAATGCATGAGGCAGCATGTGTGAGAATCCTTGATATACACCGCTGCACTGTTTAACAATTAAATCAAAACGTTATTTATACAGCACTTTTCATACACAAAGGTAACACAAAGTGCTTCGCAAACAAAAGACAAACAATAGTAACTCCCTTTCCCGGGTAATAAACAGTAACACATAACTATGTACATAACTACATAGTACATACATAACTAATAAGAACACTTAATACACACAGGACTGAATAAAGCAAGAACAAGAGCTGCAACGAGCCGTTTAGTGGAGAGAGTGAATACTGCTGAATACACATACCGTACAGAGATGCTGTATGCGAAACCAATGTGAGTTTGGAACATTGAACAATGTAAATATATTCTAGTAGACCTCAACAATGGAATTATGATCAGTGGAAATGGCCATGACATCCATCCATCCATCCATCTTCTCCCGCTTATCCGTGGTCGGGTCGCGGGGTAGCAGTTCCAGCAGAGAGCCCCAAACTTTCTTTTCCCTGGCGACATCAACCAGCTCTGACTGGGGGATCCCAAGGCGCTCCCAGGCCAGCGAAGAGATATAATCCCTCCACCTGGTCCTAGGTCTACCCCTTGGTCTCTTCCCAGCTGGACGTGCCTGGAACACCTCCCTAGGGAGGCGCCCAGGTGGCATCCTAACTAGGTGCCCGAACCACCTCAACTGGCTCCTTTCGACGCGAAGGAGGAGCGGCTCAACTCCGAGTCCCTCCCTGATGACCGAACTTCTCACCTTATCCCTAAGGGAGACAGCAGCCACCCTGCGGAGAAACCCATCTCGGCCGCTTGTATCCGCCATGACATGTGACCTTTAAATAATATTTATGTAAATCAAAACGGTATAAGAAGTGTAGGTACTATTCAAGATTCCAAAAGCCTTAGGAATTTAAATGTATTGGTACTATAGTTATTATGTGCGTGCAGTGGCGAGCCGTGACTTTTATACCTAGGCCCTCTGACCCCCCCCCCCCCCCCCTCCTATATATATCTATGACTGCACCACTTGCATAGACCTCACAGCGGGCGGAACTTGTCATAAAGTCCGCGAAAATAAAGCCCGCCCATTTAGAGGGGAAGATATGATTGGTCAATTGTACTGTCATTTGACATTACTCTCTCGTTGAGTTACTATAGCTGGCCCTCTGTGAATGTAGAGAGGGACTGTCACTACCCGATCTGCAGCTCTGCCCGATCTGCAGTGCGCATGTGCGAGATGGTCCGCCATATTGGACAACTCCGGACGGCAACCCGAGATGGACACTTGACACAGTGGCTTTTAGCAAAGCTCAAAAATAAAACGAGAGAGATGAGTTATTGTTATTACGACGTGACTTCACTATTATTTAACAACTCTTTTTATTGGGTTCTTTTATTTGGGGTTAAGTACATTGTCAGAATAAGTGAGAAATGGATTTAACTTCTGTTAGTGTGTGCAAAAATGTATGGCATAACAGAAGTTAACAGAAGTTAAATTCATTTCTCACTTATTCTGACAATGTACTTAACCCCAAATAAAAGAACCCAATAAAAAGAGTTGTTAAATAATAGTGAAGTCACGTTGTAATAACAATAACTCATCTCTCTCGTGTTTTCCTTTTGAGCTTTGCCAAAAGCCACTGTGTCAATGTTGTCCTACTTGGGATGCCGTCCGGCGTTGTCCAATATGGCGGACCATCTCGCACATGCGCACTGCAGATCGGGCAGAGCTGCAGATCGGGTAGTGACAGGTGTCAACAAGCTCTCCCGTCTTCACATAACTCGCAGACGGCATTTAACCCTTCACATTCCAACAGAAACTGAACAGGCAGATTCGAAGGATTTATTTCTTCGGAAATATTATTTTAAATACAATTAAATCAAGTTATTTTGGTAAAACTAATGAAAAATGTAACAACAAAAATATATTAAAAAAAATATTAAAAGAAAAACGTTTTTGTTTTTTTATGTTTTCAAATATTATTTTTTAGAATATCTTAGGCCCTAACGGCTCGCCACTGTGTGTGTGTCCCTTTGCTTATCTGGCCAACCCTTGGACTGATTGTGTGTGTGTGTGTGTGTGTGTGTGTGTGTGTGTGTGTGTGTGTGTGTGTGTGTGTGTGTGTGTGTGTGTGTGTGTGTGTGTGTGTGTGTGTGTGGCCTAGCATTACTATACTTGTGGGGACCTAAATCTGTTTACACAGTCACGTGTGGTGACTCGCCTCCCTTATGGGGACACATTGGAGGTCCCCATGAGGGAAATCATTAATTTTAGGGTGAAGACTTGGTTAGGGTTAGGGTTAGGGTTAGGCATGTGTTGGTTATGGTTAAGGTTAGGATAAGTCTCCAGGAAATGCATGTAAGTCAATGTAATGTCCCCTGAAGCGATGTATACATGGTGTGTGTGTGTGTGTGTGTGTGTGTGTGTGTGTGTGTGTGTGTGTGTGTTGTGTGTGTGTGTGTGTGTGTGTGTGTGTGTGTGTGTGTGTGTGTGTGTGTGTGTGTGTGTGTGTGTGTGTGTGTGTGTGTGTGTGTGTGTGTGTGTGTGTGTGTGTGTGTGTGTGTGTGTGAGTGATCCATAGGGGTTCGATCAGAATTTCTATTAAACACTCGGTCCGCCCAGCTGGACTTTAGTTAGAACCTGTGTTAAACTGTACAATTACACTGTTTTGGTTGGCCTATATTCCAATAGGTCCAAACAAATGTTTATATGAAATTGTTAAATCAAACATAACTTAACACAATACCATAATTTTTATATTTGCCTCAGCGGTTTTCTTTACTGCCCTGAGTTGGTACATGAATGTTCACACGATGCAGTGATTTCACACGCAGACGCTGATGCTGCAGCTGGGTTCTCTAAACAGTTGCAGCAAATATTCCTGTGGATTCTCACTGAACCCATCACTGGGGAAAGTGTCAAGATGGGCTTTGGGAAATGTAACAAAGGGGCTTTTTTTTGCATTCCTCTTCATAAGTCATGAGGTAAATGATCATACCATGGGTAAATAATTAGAACGCCCTGGGAGGGGAACAGCAAAATGCCAGGCAGGAAGTGTGCGTGCCCGGCAGCCCCATAGCAACTGGCTGTCGCTACGTGAAATGTCAAAGAGGAGGCCAGAGAGATCACCACAGCAGGTTGTCTTGCTCTACGTCCTTATTTCCTTTTTCTAGAAGCCTTGACTTAGCCGTGGTGACAGAAGGAGGGCACGGCAACACAATAGATGAATAACAAGCTGTCCCAGGACTGGCTTCAACTCGCTGAGAGCTGACACGTTATATCCACGATAAGCCCGGGTGGTGCTCTCCCTGGAAAATACCGACCCAGTGACCTGGCTGACCCTGCAGGGAAGTGAAACTGGAGGTTATGAATTGAGAATGACTTTTAAATATGTGAGTGACTCCCAGCAGGAGCCAGTTTCTAAAAAAAGGGATGCTCCCAGGGCCTTGCTCACAGAATGGAGGTTTCCTTTAAAGCCACTCTACAGGGCAGGGCAGGCGGTGTCAGGTTACCCAGTTGTGTCTGCTGTTTGTGTATGGCAAATAAGCAATAGCTTATTGGCAGCAGGCCTGTAACTGGAAACTGCTCAGTTTTCTCCATCCCAGTCAGGTGAGGGTAGATTAACTATTGATAGTGATGTAGAGAGCGAGTACAGCTCTGATAATGAGATTGAAGATGAGAAATATTATGAGAGTTTTAGCGAAAGCCCAGGATCTGACTCCAGCCCTGACAGCCTTACAGCTGGTCAGCGAGTCAGCATGCCCCTCTACTCGCCCCCTGAGAGCAACTCTGGGTCTTTTTCACCAACTCCGGAATTTCCAGAACCCCCAAGTGAGGCTCAGGGGGAAGCCCCGTCTGAGGTCTCAAAAAAGAGACCTGCAAGTAGAAACTTGAACCAAAATGAAAAACGGGCAAATGTAGATACACCATAGTGATTCATTTTATAAACCAATATGAGCTTCTTAAATGTCGCTACCTGGAATGTACGTGGTGTTCAGTCTAAAGACTTTCGAGAGAGGAAAATTAAATATTTATTAGACACTAATTATGACTTCCTCTTTACGCAGGAACTTAGACTGAATACCACCAGTGATGTTGATGATGTGTGTAAACGGTGGCATAAAGGCAAAAGTATTATATCCATCGGAGAGAGTAGAGCTGACGGAGTTGGCATTTTTTTTAAAGAAAAAGACATCACTATTATTAGAAGAAGGGACATAATCCCAGGAAGGCTGCTTATGGTGGATTGCTTTTATAAAAATGTATACTGCCCCTGAGGCAAAAAATAAGTTACAATTATTCATGGCCTGCTACAGAGCCCAGGAGGTGTGGTCGCTCCTACGGGGCATCAGGTTAGACTTCAATGTAGAATATGTCCCAATCATGTATTGTATTCTGGATGAGAAAATGGACAAAAAACACAGGGACCTTTTTCAGCTGGTAATTTGTATCACATGTATGAAAATCTGGAAAACAAGGTGCAAAATGGGACTAAATCAGACGATCATAAACAGTGGTACCATCGTGAAACAAATACTTACTGAACTAAGGAGAAGAAAAACCCTGGACAAATCCCAGACTCAGCCATGGGGCGTTTTGAGTCTGTGACCGAGCTGAGTCTCATTGGAATATAAACGTGCTCTCTTTATGTTATTTATATATGTATTCATTGTGTTTTATGTGTATTATTAATGTAACTTGTGTATATCATGTACTGCCCAAATAATATAAAATAAAGTTTTCTAAAAAAAAAAAAAACTGCTCAGGGAGAGTGGCTGTTGATTTCCCACATGAGCATAATGGATCAGTTTCACAATATACTGCCTGAGAGGGAACAGGTATTCAGGTCTTCATTTCAGAAGAAGATATACTAGTGCAAACATGTTAATAATAATATATA